TGGCTTTTGGAGTTTCCTGTAGGGCTAAAACATGAGAAGAATTAGCTTTCTTTTTGACTTTCTTCATCCATGATGGCTGCTGCATTACCAGGAGGTACCAGGCAGTGATGTACAGGATTTAGTCCGGGTGGCGTCGGATCTTCCCCACTATGGCAGGGTTGAAGATCCCCTCCAGTGGCCAGCTGCAATTAGGAAATGTGGGCCATTCGAGGGAACAAAAGGTGGTTAAGTTTCCTTGGTTTGCCTGATAACCTGACTGTTGTGCCGCCCCTTGGAAATCCTTGAAGTGGCACAAAACCAGTTGCAGAGGGGTATCAGGCTTAGAGCACTGCTGCCCCATAATATTGATAGCAATGACAGACACAACAGTGACTAACACCGAACAAATAAAGACAATAACACAAACTGAACAGACAGACCTAACTGCCCGAGGGCAATACTGGAGGGCCCAGTGAGGTCTCACTGTGATCTCAGACCCAGGAATTAGTGCTGTGTCCAGCTTTCCTGTGGGTCCAACCAGAAGTGCGCACAAACAGAACAGGAATTGACTCACCTCTCAGAGGGCTCTGGGGAGGTTGTCAGACTGCCAGAGATGACAATCAACTGTTTGCAAGTCCACAGACTCACCAGGCCCGATGAACACTGAAGTTTGCAGGTATGCAGACTCATAAGGTCGGCTGGTGATTGGGCCTGGGGATTAAGCTCTCGGATCTCCTGGGTGAGCCCCCAAATGAAATAGGGACTGAGTGCTAATTCACAGACACCAACACCAAAAGTACAAGTTATAAAAAGGAGAGGTTTATTAGCCAAGAGCCAGGCCAGTGGCCACTTGCCTGCTGGACATAACAGTCCCACAGCAAGGGGCCCCCGTTAGCTGTAGGGGCTTGCTTAAATGGGGCAAAACCACATTGAGACTTTCCAAGTGGGCCAAATCGCAATATCCTGGAGACCTACTTTTCAAGCAATGCTAGCGGGGTTCACAGAAGCGAAAAAAAAAAGCTGTTAAACAGTTTAACCTAACCAGCAGGTGCTGTTGCCAGTTTCCAGGAAGAGAACTTTTTTTTAAAACTGTGCAAAGTTTGAGTACATGTTTAGCCTAATTTTTGAGATTGTAGATTTTTTTGTTAAAGCCCCCTTCCACAATCCCAGCACTTTGGGAGGCTGAGGTGAGTGGATTTCCTGAGCCCGTGGGTTCGACACCAGCCTGGGAAACTTAGCAAGACCTCATCTCTACAATAAGTAAAAAATTAGCTGGGTGTGGTGGTGCATGCCTGTAGTCCCAGCTACTTGGAAGGCTGAGGCGGAAGAATCCCTAGAGCCCAGCAGGTTGATGCTGGGGTGGCCGTGAGTGTGCCACTGCACTCCAGTCTGGGTAACAGAGTGAGACTCCAACTCAAAAAAAAAAAAAAGACTTTGGGCCCTCCCTGAAAGGCTCAAACCCCCTTACTGGAGGTTTCTTGCAGATTTCAGAATTTCTCCCGACTCTACTTTTGTTTTGTCACTAGGTAGCATCTTATTCACTCGCATTTACATAACATCTCCAACCCGCCTCCCAGTGCCTTAGAGTTATGGTTTTGTCCTCCTGTGGGACTACTTGGGCAACTCTGGGGAGGTGATCAGGCTCCCCTTCTGCCTGTTAGGGCCAGGCTTTATCAAATCAGACCCAGGTTCTTACCAGTCTGATGGGCAATGCTCTCTTGGCTGGTTCCTGGGCCTCACCAGTTTCCTTTGTGCTCCTGGGGTCCTGTCCCAGCATGCCGGGAGAGCTAGTCCCCTACAGATCAATTGGCCTACTGGTGCCAGGCGAGGTCACCTCTTCCTGTGTCCTGGGGTGCATTGCACCCTGGTGACAAGGGAGGTGAAAACACTGACTCTACCTCTCAATTTCCTGGCCAATGCACCAGAAATGTGGCAGGACCCTTTACAGAGAGAGACAAGACAATGAACTTTTTTGCCAGGAAGCAGAGTTTATTTGTGCCGGCACTGGCCCAGTAGATTTACATCCAAAGGCTGAGCCCCAAATGCAGTGAGGCATTTCCTTATATTACATTTTAGCACCTTTGTCTCCCTTATATGGCAACCTGCATTTTTGATTGGGTATTTTATGGCACAGGGTTGCAACTGGGTCACTCATGCGCACTTAGACATTGACTACACCATGTCACTTTTTCTCTAACACATTCTTTTTCTATTCTGGAAAGACCCTCATCTCTTTGTTTTAGAAGGGCCCTTGCCAGCCCCTGCCTCAGAAGATGTACAGCTTTGAAGCATTGTCATGCTTGACAGCTAGATTGAAGGTTAAAGCAAGCAGTTACCATAAATCTTATTGTTTCCTTTATGCTATAATAATAATTTGTTGGTTTGCTTTTCCCCTCTTCCTTTCCTTTTTCTTCCAACAGATTAAAGACCTCTGGTGCCTTTTTTGTTGTTGTTGTTTTTTGAGTAGGAGTCTCACTCTGTCACCCAGACCGGAGTGCAGTGGCATGCTCACGGCTACTGTAACCTTGACCTCCTGGACTCAGGTGATCCTTCTGCCTCATCTTTCCAAGTAGCTGGAACTACAGGCATGCACCACCACACCCATTTAGTTTTTTGATTTATTGTAGAAATGAGGTCTCACCAAGTTGCCCAGACTGGTCTCAACCCCCTGGGCTCAGGCAATCCTCTCTCCTCAGCCTCCCAGAGTGCTGGGATTAGTGTGAGCCACTGCCCCCAGCCCTCTGGTGACTTTTAATTGCTTTTTAAACATTGTTATTATAATTATACTTCGGAAAACAATTATTAATGTGAAAATTAAAGGTAATTTTTAAATTGCATTAGTTTATTTTTAAAAATGTGAAAACATGATAAGTTTTTCTTAAAGGGGAAAGGTATTCATAATTTACAAGAGTTCTATGTGTCTTTGAGGTGTTAAATGAACCGCTTACCATACTAGATATAAAAAGTGATTTGAGGAATATTCTGGGATCTTAAATACTCCAGAGAAGTTTTGTTTGCTTAACTTACTTTGACACTGAGATGATAAGAAACTGAGGTTGTTGGATAGCAGTGGGTAGGAAAAGAAAGCAATGGTTGTGAAAATTTTGTAAAAGAAGACTTATCAACTAATTTGATATGAGAGAGTGCGGCAAAAGAGAATAATTGGTGTCCTAGAGAGAAGTCCAGGTATTTGAAAGAGACATTGGATATTGGGAAAGGTAAATCCACTGTCAGTTACTCCTGAGTTTGAGGTGCCACCTTCCCTGGAATGCGGTAATTCGAAACAAGAGAGGGCTTGCATGTAAATCTTGCCCTATTGCAAAGAAGTCACCTGGAGGTCTAGCAGGGAGAGACACTGGTTTATTGAAACTTACAGGGGAGCAAGATGGTGGCAGGTTGGTGAAGAATCCATGCAAGCAGTTTTATAAAGACATCAAGCTAGTCATTCAGATTCCTATCCATTGTTTACAATTACATGGATTACACATGATGATGACACTGTTTTCAGCTTTTCTTCATTACCAGCATCCCACGCCTCTGGGAATATCCACACCCTTCAGAGGCCAGTCTTGGCCAGGGCGCTCCCTGAGGCGGGGGTCAGGGGACAGAAAGAAGCCAGGTCTGGGGCAAAATGTCTATGTCTGGACAGTACCTCACACTCCCCTCCTCCTTTCTACCTCTGTCTTTTTTTCCTTCTTGGACCTGGTAGAAAAGGTAATCCCAGAGTTTATAGTTTTATTGCCCTGCAGGAAACGAAATAACTTATATTTAGCAAATTTATCTCAGTGTTTTTTTGCTAATAGACTACCAGGAACTAGAGCTTGTCTTTCCACTGATTCATTAATGGGTTGGATAAAACTTCGATATGTGCAAAAAGTAATTTTATCTGAGTATTATTATAGTATTTGTTAGTAACTCCACTCTGCAAGCATAATTACTTTTAGGAGACCCGTTTTATCGAAAGTCCAAGCTTTTGATTATGAAGCAGCACCCCTGGGTCATAAACAATCCTAGGCCTTTGGCAGCTATTGGTTTCCTACAGTTCACTGAATGACAGAAAGAAATTGTAAACAAATGTCATTTCCTGATCCTGGTCACTGTGATGGTCATTGGTTTTCAATGGTGAGTGCTATAGAAGCAGGGACAGGATTTTTTAATAGCATAGATGATTTCTTAAACTCTTCTTTCTTCTGGAGCAGCATTGTCCAATATGGTAGCCACCTGTCCCATGTGGCTATTTGAATTAATTAAAATTAAGTTTAAAAATTCACGTCTTCAATTGGGCTAGTTACATTTCAGATGCTCAATAGCCACATGTGGCTAGTGGCTACCATAGTGGGTAACGCAGATATAAAATATTTACATCATAACAGAAAGGTATATTTGAAAGTACTGATGTAGGGAGCTTCACCCTTAGGGGGAAAATGTACAATGCACGGGAATACTGCTCTGGAAATATGACCTGTGGAGTGGAAATATAAAAAAGACATCATTATTCCACACCAGGCCCAAATAAAACAAATCCCCACACAATAAATAGATAATTGCCCACCCTAACGAAACATGGTTGGGTAAGTATGCGAAAATAATATGAGATCGGGGGAAAAAAATGTAAACCTCTCACAACTTAAGCATAGATTAATTGTGAAGTACAATGTAAAATGTCCACGACTATTTCAAATGTTAAAAAAAAAAAAATCCACCAAAGAAAAGCCAAGAGTCTTCAAAGCAGGTGGGTCCTTCCTGCCAGCCTCCTTTCAGCCCATTGCTCCAGCTCCGAGAAATGACCCTCTGGCGAGGAAGGGCACCGAAGACAAGAAAGCCGTTAGTGTAGTGCAAAGCGCATAATACATGCACACTGCCATTAATACTCCTAATGCTCAACCTCCTCTTCTTCAAGCCTCGAACACTCAGAGTTATGGCGATCAGGGCGGATCCTTAAGTGACACGCAGATCTGCGCATGCGTCGGTGGTGGAGCCATGCTCTGGGTCGGAAGTCCCGGTTTGTTTATTAAATTACGACCGTCGTAAAACAGGATTTCCTGACGGCTTCGTAGCTTTACGATGACAACAAGTATGGCGGCTGCCAGTGGTCGATTTGAAAGTGAGAAGAGTATCGAAGAGCGTAAGGAACAGACCCGGCTTGCCAGGGCCGAGGTGTTGCGCCAGGTAACTCCGTTGTGGGACTTTGTGAGTTGTGGGAGTTGAGAGGTCCTGGGAACTAGCTCGCCCTCCCCTTCCCTCTTGGGCTCCGTGCTGGATCTCGTCCTATTTGAGTGGGGTCTCCCTTTACAGTCCTGGTCATCTTTTGTGTATCTCCCTTCTGCTGGATGCTCTGGCAGGTTCCAGTTGCTCGTTCTTTTTTTTCAGGGAGATCTGTTTGTTTTTCTCCAAGCTTCTTGAGCTTTCACGTTATCCATTCTTTCCATTTCTATCACCCGAACGGCACACCTTCTAGATACTCCACCACTTTTAAGGACTCTCTGCCAGCGTGTTTCACAACCTCAGTCATTGCTCCTGCTGTATTTGAAATGTTTGTTTTTTCTGGAACACGTGTAAGTCGTATTTGACTAGATTCATTTAGACATTTCGTTCTTCTTTCTTGCCGTTGGTATCATCAGACTTGTAAGCCCTGACAAGAGGTTAACACAAGAGACCCAGAAAATTTAACCTTTCACAGAGGACTGAAAAACATGATATGCTTCACTAAGGTTGAGATGCATAGAGGTAACAAATGAAGAATAGAGGAAGTTAAGCGGTATTACATGACAAGTTATTCAAGATATAAGAAGTGTGCCATAGAAGGGAAAAGAACTTGAAGAGAAACATAGGGCACAACGAAGGTTTTCGTCTTTATTTGTTTTAAGATGTAAGAGTTGTAAACGAGTTTAAATGCAGATGAGAAGGAGCCAATAGAAAAAGGAGACAGTAAGGAGAAAGGATAATAACTGCAGCCAGATTTTAAAGGGGGAAGAGAGGGCAGTTAGTCTTGGAAAGGTGAAAGGTTGGTGTTGTCTCTGATTTCAACATGTATAGTATGTATATTATATGGATAATAAATATCCTACATTCTTGCCTTTTTTTTTTTTGAGTTGGAGTCTCACTCAGTCGCCCAGACTGGAGTGAAGTGGTCGCTCCCGGCCACCGCAGCCTCGACCTGCTGGGCTCCGGCGATCCTTCCGCCTCAGCCTTCCGAGTAGCCGGATTTACAGGCATGCGCTACCAGGCCCAGCTGATTTTTTGATTTATTGTAGAGATGAGGTCTCACTGCTCAGGCGGGTCTCGAACCCACGGGCTCAGGCAATCCACTCACCTCAGCCTCCCAAAGGCGCGGGATCACAGGCTGAGCCACCGAGCCTGGCCATCCTTGCCTTTTTATGATTTCAAGAAGCTTGTGGAGAAAGTAGGGTATGTAAGCTGTGATAACTTTTATAGTTGAGATATGCACAGAGTTGGAGGAGGACCAAACAGCTTTGGAGTTTGGGGGAAAGAGTAAGAGGTCAGAAACAACTTCTTAGGGGAAACCTACTTAATTTGACTATTGTAGAATGGTGAGTAAAAAGTAGCAATATGATTATTTATTTTCAGGAAGGTGATTATTCCTGGAGCATTTTGAGGGTCTGAGTATTGGGGTAAAGGTATTGCAAATTGAAGGCATGAAGGTCAGTCTCCTAACTGTGCAGAAGTCTTGGGGAGTTTGCAGATGAAGAACGGAAAAGAGATTCCAAGTCATGTTTGAGGTAAGGAGCTTAGGGAGCGAAAAGGGCCTACAATAGGTACCAGAATTCTTTCTCTAATTGATGGTTCAATTCACTGGAGAATGGTAATGTGGAAGGAGAGTTCATTTTTCCTTTCTATTCAGTATCTCCTCTCTACTGGTAGAAGCAAATTCCTGGCAAGGAACAGATCATTTATTCATAAGTATATACCTTTATGTGAAAATGGGATAGTTTTTTGTCTTCCTTTTTTGGTGAAAAGCAGTTGGATCAATTGCCAATTTGTCTTTTTTTGTTGTTGCAGGCCAAAGCCAATTTTGAAAAAGAAGAAAGGCATAAAGAACTTAAGCGACTTCGTGGTGAGGATACATGGATGCTACCTGATGTGAATGAGCGAATTGAACAATTTTCACAGGTGAATACTAACTGGTTTAATTGATGTAAAGATATCTGCCTTTGTTTTACATTTATTCAAGTTAATATCGGAAGAGCAGTTTTATAGACTGTTTTTATAAGTTACAGAATGAATATCACATAGTTGGCATTACTGGATAGTTTATTTCTCTGGCAGAAGTAATATGTTGTAGTATATGGACAATATGACATTGGAAAGATTTTGTCACTTTAATTAGCTTCAAACTTCTCGCCTACTTGTAGTAAGCTTATAGATCTAAAAAGTAACGCCTTTACACTTTATGTGGTTTTTTATTTTTAATTGACAAACCATAATGGTATATGTTTATGGGTACAGTGTTATGTTTCGATCTATGTATACATTTTAGCATGAGTCATACAGACTAATTAACATACTTAGCACCTCACCAACTTATATTTTGTGGTGACAAAAGTAAAAATATATTCTTTCAGCAATTTTGAAATATACATTATTATTAACTATGATCACTGTGCTTTATAATCACTAAAATTTGTTTCTCCAGTCTGACTGAAATCTTGTAACCTTTACTCAATATCTTCCCTGTCCCCCTTCCTCTTCCTTCCCTCAGCCTCATCCTACAATTTAATTTAATTTAATTTAATTTATTTATTTTGAGTTGAAGTCTCACTCTGTCGCCCAGACTGGAGTGCAGTGGCAGCTCCTGTCCACTGCAACCTCGCCCTGCTGGGCTCCGCGATCTGTCCGTCTCAGCCTTCCAAGTAGCTGGAACCATAGGCGCATGCTACCATGCCTGGCTAATTTTTGATTTACTGTAGAGATGAGGTCTCACTAAGCTGCCGGGGCGGGTCTCGAACCTGGGGCCTCAGGCAGTCCACTCGCCTTGGCCTTCCCAAGTGCTAGGAGTACAGACTGATCCACTGAGCCTGGCCTATTTTACAAATTTTAATTCATGCTACCTTGCTGTATTTTTTTTTTAGATTTTATTTATTTATTTCCTTTTAAAAATTTTTTATTAAAGATGTAGGGTACAATTCAGGGTTAGGTATACAAATGGTGATTATGCAGGTACCTTTGTTGATGAGGTGTGCCCCACCTGCCCTGACAGTTTCCTACTACTGCCAATCCCACCCCCCTCTGCAGTTTCCCACTACTGCCATTCCCTTTCTTATAGTATTATGATAATTGTTCAAGGTCCTCTTATGAGTGAGAACATATGGTACTCTATTCTTTGTTTCTGTGATAGGTCACTGAGTATGATAGGCTCTAAATCTATCCAAGTTGCTGTGAAGTCCGTATGTTTGTCCTTCTTTGTGGCTGCATAATATTCCATTGTGTATATGTGCCACTTTTTTTTTGTACAGTTCAGTTTTGACGACTTGGTAATCTTGTATACATTTTTTGGTGATCATACAGAGTTACAATATGTATGTTCATGTGTGGGTGTATGTATGTGTTTGTGTGTGTGTGTATGCGTATACATGGTCTGACAATGAAGTTTGCGGACTCATTCTAGAAAAAGTGCTACATACCTCGTTGCTGACTGTTGCTACGATCTTCTTTGATATACTCCCCATGGGAAGCTGTGCACTGATGCCAGCACCTAGTCCACTTGTCAAAGCAGTTTTGGAACTCTTTTTTCTGAAATGGCCATTCGAGCTGTCATTGTAAGAATGTCAGAGTGTGAATTAGAGCAGCAAACAAACATTAAATTTCTTGTTAAACTTTGCAAGAATGGAAGTGAAATCAGGGACGTGTTAATTCAAGTTTGTGTGGATAATGCCATGAATAAAACAGCAGTGTGCCAATGGATTAAATGTTTTTCTGAGGAGAGAGAAAGTGTCACTGATGAAGAGAGATCAGGATGGCCAGTAGTGAGCAGAACTGACAAAAACATTGCAAAAATTTATCAAATTGTGCATTGGAATCATTGGCTGACTGTGAAAAGCATACCAGACCAAATAAACATTGTCAGAGGAACAAGAAAATCTTCACTGAAAATCTTGTCATGAGAAGGGTGAGTGCAAAAATGGTACCAAAGGAGCTCTTGCGTCACAGCAATTTTCCATCTCACACAGCACTGTCTACGAGGGAGTTTTAGCCGGGAAACAAGTAACTGTATTGAAACACCCCCCCGCCCCGCTCACCTGATCTAGCCCTCAATGACTTTATTCTTTATCTGAAGATAAAGGAAATAACTGAAAGAAAGACATTTGATAACATTCAGGACATCAAGTATAATACAATAACTGCTGTGATGGCCATTCCAGAAAGAGAATTCCAAAATTGCTTTGGCAGGTGAACTGGGTGCTGGTGTTGGTGCTTAGCTTCCTAAGGGGGTACTTCATGGGTGTCTGTAGTGATATTCAGCAAAGTCTGTAGCACTTTTTCTAGGATAAGTTTACGAACTTATTATACCTTGTATGTATCGGTATACACACAAATGTTTATATATGTGTGTATTTATTTAATTATATATCTGTTGCAAGAATCTATAAACAAAACCAAAAATTTTCTTATAGTTTTCTGGTAGGAAATTTCAGCTATGTGGTTTATTAATAGTGCATATGTAGGCCGGGCTCGGTGGCTCAGCGTGTAATCCAGTGATTTGGGAGGCCGAGGTGAGTGAATTGCCTGAGCCCGCAGGTTCGGGACCTGCCTTGGCGAGACCTCATCTCTACAATAAATCAAAAAAATTAGCCAGGTGTGGTAGCGCGCGCCTGTAGTTCCAGCTACTTGGAAGGCTGAGGCAGAAGGATCGCTGGAGCCCAGCAGGTTGAGGCTGCGGCAGCCGGGAGCGTGCCACTGCACTCCAGCCTGGGCGACAGAGTGAGACTCCAACTCAAAAAAAAAAAAAAAAAATAGTGCATATGTTATAGAAGACATGTTAAGTAGAGTTTATTGGAAGATTTAAAAAATCATATTCTTTTTCTCATTTTATGAATGATTTAAAGTTTTGAGACATGGATTTTTTTCCCCCCCTCAAAATGCTTCTGTATAAAGTAAGTAAAACGAAGTTTCTTTCTTGCTTTTTCAAAATGATTATTTATAGGAACACTCTGGAAAGAAAAAGAAGAAAAAAGACAAGCATTCAAAAAAAGTAAAGAAAGAGAAGAAAAAAAAGAGCAAGAAACAGAAATATGAAAAAAACAATGAGTCAGCTGATAGCTCATCAGTAAGTATGTACTAAAACTAATCAAAGCAGCTATTTGAGAACATTTTATTTGGAAGAATAATATATGGGAACTGAACATATTTGAGAACTTAAAAAGTGTTGCTAGTATTCTTTTATAAAAATATCTGGGAGACATCTACTTAGTGATGCCCAAGAAATAATAAAAATGTGAATCTTGGGTTTCAGAGAAAGGTTAAGAGGATGAGGATACGATTTGGGAATCATTGCTAGCTGTAGCCATTAGAATGGATAAAATGCCTAAGGAAACTGAAAAGAAAGATGAACACCAACACTGAAAAGCCAGATAGGAAGTAAAGGGTAAGTAAAAGTAGTTGGAAAATTAGAAGGAGAAGCAGGAAGAACTCTGTTAAATTAAGGGGAAAAAGTTCAAGACATTTGAGAGTCTGTTTGTATTTTCGTAGAAATTAGCTTTTTTTTTTAACGTCTTTAAAATAGGATGTGTTTAATATTTTTACCTTTGGGGCCACATGGAAGAGGGTGCTGGGTTGGCTGTGTCTCTAGCCAGTTCCAGGAGGAGGAGGACTCAGAGAAGAAAAAAAAGCAGGCCACATGCTTCATACTTGTTTTCAGTAGGTCATACTTAGAAAGTGATGAGCTAGAGACGTTTAGGGATAATTTGCCTCTCACGTGTGATCATCATGGGATTATCCTCTCAACTGAATCACCATAGTTCAAAGAATGTACTTTGTAGTTTCACATGTAGTTTCAGAAATTGTATTTTTGACAGTATAGGTCAGAGATCATATATTAAAGTGCTGAAAATAGATTTTATTCAGTAATTACTGACAGTAAGGCAAATTGCTGAGCTCCATTCTGTTTTATGCATAGATGATTTGGGTGTTTTAAAGAGAGAATGGCAGGGGAAAGTGAGGGCTCAGTAGGGTCAGAAAAGTGAAAGATTACAAAGGTTTGGTCAATATAAATTTGATTAGGCCAACTGTGTTTGCTAGCTGCCAGCTAGTGTAGTTAGGATTCTGTCCTCTCACAGAGATTGGAAGACAGAGGCCCTGTTATTCCTGGTGATTACATTTTAGAGGAATGTCTCTCAGGTCCTTGAGAGAGACCCTTATGAGTTGTAAGAGATATAATCACCATTGTAAATTCCCTAAGAAGGGGAAATCGGGAGCCTATTATCAGGTGTTGACTAAAAATAGTAAAATTTCTCAGGCAGGCATTTTATTGGGGGCCACTAGGTTCTTTCTAGGGACATAGTCTTATGGTGCTAGACGCCATGCTAGAGTTGAGTTAAATCTTAGTGCTGGTGATGGAAGGTGTTTTGTACCAAAGGTTCAGCAGTTTTCAATACCTTGAGGTGGTAATTGAAAGCCTATCTTAGCCGGGCTCGGTGGCTCAGCCTGTAATCCCGTGCTTTGGGAGGTTGAGTTGAGTGGATTGCCTGAGCCCGCGGGTTTGAGACCCACCTGGGCAACTTGGCGAGACCTCATCTCTACAGTAAATCAAAAATTAGCCAGGCGTGGTAGCACGCGCCTGTAGTTCCAGCTACTTGGACGGCTGAGGTGGAAGGATCGCCGGAGCCCAGCAGGTCAAGGCTGCATGGCCGGGAGTGGCCACTGCACTCCAGTCTGGGTAACGGAGTGAGACTCCAACTAAAAAAAAAAAAAAAAAAAAAAAAAAGAAAGCCTATCTTATAACAATGCAGTATATTAATTTATGGTGAGAAATAAAAGTGCATAGTCTTAAAGATTAGCCAGCATGTTTTGTAATGATAGAAATACTTAAAGCATATAGATAAAAATGTTTTGCATAAAACTCAGAGCAAAGGGAGTTAGAAAATCTTAAAGTGAAAAGCGGGGAGAGACACTATTTCCACAATTGTGCATTTGGATTATTAACTACATTGAGAATCTGTTAAAGTTAAGTAATTTTTTTTCTCCAAAGAATCATGTATGTACAAAGTTTTTTTTTTTTAGGAGGGTTTATAGAACTCCCTGGAGTTAATACAAAGATTACAGTTAAGAATTCCCCAGGTATGCCAGGCTGTCTAAACATTTATATCATTTGATTAAGGGTACTTTCTTCCACTAACTAGAGATACATTGTGCTGTTTTTTTTCTCTTTTTCTTTGTTCTTTCCTGGAAGCAGATGTATATATTTTTGTTACAGTACACAGTATATACACTTATACATAGTACATTGTGTAATATTTGTGTATATATACACATACTTTAGGCAGAGTAGTTTGAATGAATGCTCTGTGCCCATAGCGCATTGAAGTGGCTTGAAGAATGAAAGGGGAGTTCGTACTGGAGTGAAGGGAAGGAAAGACAGAGGGATAGCCAGAGGAGTCGAGTTGTTGTGAAATCTTTTTGAGATGTTTTTGGGGAGGGAGGGATAAATAATATTGAGGAGAATGATCCATTTGGATCAGCAAGGTGCCAGGAGGAAGGATGAGCTTTGATCAGAAGTAGGAGCATCCTGTCTTCTGAGCGAGGAGGGAAGTTGTAAAACTGTGTACACTATAAATAACTTAGGAGATGTGGTGAGAAGAGAACAGATTAGTGACGGTGTTTCTGCTTGTAGTTCTGTTTCCTCTGTGAAGTAGAAGGTAGTCTCTGAGCAGATAATTTGAGAGTGAAAGTAGAACAGAAGGATTGAGGAAATGGTGTGGATTTGAAACAACTTTGCTTAGATAGTGCAAAAGAAGCAAAAAAAAGATTGTTGAGCACCACTGAGGATACATGTAAGTCTGAAAAACATATCTTGACTGTGTCAAGTTCCGTTTATTTTTTTCTTTTAACTTTAAACATTAATTTAACTGAGGCATAGTTCACACCTAATATAGTACTCCTATTTTAAGTGTACTATTTGGTGAATATGCCTGTTTAGCTTTTAGTTAAGGTGCCCCTAAAGTTCCTCAGGGCCTCTCCCAGCCAGTCCCTCTCCTCCTTCTCCTCTTCCACTTGTGGACTGAGCAACCGTGAATCTGCTTTAGCACCTGTAGTTTTTCCTGTCCTAGAATTTCACATAAACTGCTTCATGTCATGTGACCTTTTTTGTGTCTGGCTCCTTTGACTCAACATAATGGTTTTGTAATTCGTTCATGCCGTTGTATGTACTAGTATTAGTTTTTTTCTTTTTATTGCTGTATTCCAGTGTAGGAATATATTACAGTTTTCTTATCTTTTTATCTGTTGAAAGTAGTTTGGGTTATTTTTAGTTTGTTATGAATAGTACTGCTGTGAACATTTGTGTACAAGTTTTTTTTGTGGACATGTGTGTTCATTTCTCTTGGGTAAGTGTCATGGTTTCCCAAAGTGGTTGACCCATTTTACCCTCCTGCCAACAGTGTGAGTGAGTTCCATTTGTTTCACATCCTTGCTAGCACTTGGTATTGCCAGTCTTTGTAATTTTTGACCATTCTGCTGTGAGTGGTAATATCTCCTGTGGGATTTCCCTAAAGAGCCGTGCTGTAGGGCATCATTTTAAGTCTTTGATGGCTATTCTATGTCTTCTTTTGTGAAGTTCTTTTCTTTTTTCTTTTGTACCATTTTTCTTAGTACTTTTGGTGTCCTAATTTTGCACAACTCAGTGTTGTGATTTTCTCCTATGTTATCTTTTTCCTAGAAGTTTTATAGCTTCGGCTTTTTTGTTTACCTATGATCCATTAGTAATTTTTGTTTCTGGTATATAGGAAGTGTTAAAGTTAATTTTTTTCATGTGAATTTCCAGTTGTTCTGTCATCATTTTTGAGAAGGCTAACTTTTCCCTATTGAGTTACCTTGGCTCCTTTGTTGAAAATTAATTGTGCATATATTTGTAAGTTAATTTCTAGATGGTCTATTTTGCTCCAATTAGCTGCATGGATCTCCTTGACCAGTAAACCCACTGTCTTAATTACTGCAGCTTTAGGGTAGGTTTGGAATGAGGTAGTGAAAATTATTTGACTTTGTTCTTTTTGGAAATTATTTTGGCTACTCTGATTTTTTGTTGCCTTCTTTCAGTAGTTAGGACTTCAAAATAGTGTTGAATGGAAATAATGAGATTGCCATGTTTCCTATCCTGGATGGAAAGCATTTAGTTTTTCACCTTTGGGCATGTTGTTAGCTGTGGGATGTTCATGTATGCCTTTTCAGATTGAGGATATTCCCATCTAGTGTTCTGAGATTTTGTATCTTGAATGAGTATTGAATGCCAATAAATGATTTTTCTACATCTGTTAATATGATTATATGTTTTTTCTCCATTATTCTGTGCATATGGAGAATTACATTGATTTGAATTTCAAAGACTAAACTAACAGGAATTCCTGAGAGAAATCACATTTAATGATATATGTGTGTGTCAAATTTTATTTTCAGATATGCTTTTACACACACACACACAATGTATATATTATATATATACCTTATGTAATACATATATTTCTGGATTTGATTTGTTAATACTTTGTTGAGCAGTTTTGCATATGTTGTTTAGGAGGAACATTGGGGTTGTGGCATAAAAGTAATGCTGGCCTCATGCACGAGTTAAAAAGTATTTCTCCTTTTCTGTTTGTCAAAGAGTTTGTGCAAGATTGTGCAATTTCTTCCTTAAATGTTTGTTAAAGTTTACTAGTGACACTGTTTGGTTCTGGAGTTTTCTTTGTGGAATGGTTTTTAGCCACAAATTTAACTCCTTTAAGAACTGTATTATCTAATACTATAAGAAAGGGATTGGCAGTAGTGGGAAACTGCCAGGGGAGGGCGGAGGCGGAATTGGCAGCAGTGGGAATTGCCGGAGGTGGGGGGCACACCTCATCAATAGAGAACCTGCACAATGAACTTTTGTATACCTAACCCTGAATTGTGCCCCACATATTTAAAATAAAAAACATTTTTTTAAAAGAGCTGTATTAAATATTTTCTATTTTCTGGTTTAGTTTTAGTAACTTGGGTTTTTCTTTTTTTTTTCTCTTTTAATTTTTATTTTGAAATTGCGGGGTACAATTCAGGGTTAAGTATACACATCTTCCTTGTATTTGATTTTGTTATTGATGAGGTGTGCCCCCCTTCCCCATAACTTGAGTTTTTCAAGGAATTTGTTTATTTCACCTAACTTGTGAAACTTATTGTTTTGAAGTTATTTGTAACATTTCCCTTGTCCTTTTCTGTGTATGTGTAATCTACAAATGTTCCCTCTTTCACACCTGACTTTGGCAGTTTCTATTTTGTCTTTGTTTTCTTGGTCAGGCTAGCTTCAGGTTTATTAATTTTTTTAATCTTTTCAAGAAATAGGTTTGTATTTTCATTGTTTTTCTGTTTATTTTCTATTATAGTTTGAATCAGTGTAATAGTTTAAATCAGTGATACAGATTTAAACTATATTCCTTTCTTTTTTTTTTTTTTTTTTT